GGGAAATCGCTTTCTCCCCTGGGTTCCGAGTGTATCTGGAGGACAGAGTATCCCAGCATTCCCTGCACCGCCGGTTCATACAGCCACTTTGGGGCAAATGTGGCTAAACAGTGCAGATTTGAGGCTCTGTGGTGTAGGATGCTGTGCCTGTTATCAGAAGGTCACCGGTATGAATCTCAGGGTTGGCAGAGCGATAGCATCGTTGGGGCCTCGAGCAAGACCTTTTACCCCCAATCGCTCTTGGAAGTAGCTCAATCAGAAGGCAGTCCAGCCATGACACTGAATAGAGAGAACACCCCCCTCTCTAGGATAAAAGGGGCTGAAGAAGACAAGCACTAACTGTTATTGTTCTAATCAATAAGATATATATATACATACACAAGCAACCAGATCATCCAGGACAGAGTGGGATTTTCCACTGATTTCCAGCATTTGTGTGCCTGGCAGAGGTCAACATTTGTCTTCTGCAAACTGTGTTCTTCACTTTCATAACGGAAGTTTGTCCCCCAGGCAGTGCTCCATCTGTACATGAAACAGCGCCACTCACAGGCTGCCAGAGAGAGCCTTTTTAGCAATGAGGCTAACCCTAGTGTGTGGTTCCATTAGCGGTCGCTAACCCAGGTGTGTGGCTGCATTAGCCGACGCTAAGCCTAGAGTGTGGTTCCATTAGCGGTCACTAACCCAGGTGTGTGGCTGCATTAGCCGACGCTAAGTCTAGTGTGTGACTGCATTAGTAGGGGCACTGTAGGCTGCCTTGGAGTGGCCAAAACGCATGCGGGGCAGCCTGATACCCATAAGCCATTGCATGGGCAGCCTGCAGCACCCCAGGTCTCCACATGTGGGTGTCCCATGAAGGTTTGGGCGATAAGAACATGTCTGCTAGACACTGAAGTCTGATCCTTATACCCAAATAGGCCAAATAGATCAGTGAGTACTTTTAGATACACTTTCATTATCCTGAGGAAATTGCTTAAAGTACTCCAGTATCACCTTGATTTATTGTAGACAAACACAAAAAAATATGCGAAATCAGTGTCGCTATCACACAGGATTAATAGGCTGGGTCTGTGAGGCTTCCGCAGACGACTGTGCAGGCGAGCCTTGTGGATCTGCGAGCGTTTGCGGGGATGACTGAGCGGGCAAGCCCTGTGGAGCTGGAGGCCACGTTAGTGGGGACGACTGTGCGGGCGAGCCCTGTGGAGCTGGAGGCTGCGTTTGCGGGGACGACTGTGCGGACGAGCCCTGTGGAGCTGGAGGCTGCGTTAGTGGGGACGACTGTGCGGACGAGCCCTGTGGAGCTGGAGGCTGCGTTTGCGGGGACGACTGTGCGGGCAAGCCCTGTGGAGCTGGAGGCCGCGTTAGTGGGGACGACTGTGCGGACGAGCCCTGTGGAGCTGGAGGCTGCGTTTGCGGGGACGACTGTGCGGACAGGCCTGTGGAGCTGGAGGCTGCGTTTGCGGGGACGACTGTATGGGCGAGCCCTGTGGAGCTGGAGGCTGCGGACTCTCTGAATGGCTATGAGTGTTTCTGTGCGCCGGGATTCGTCAGTGAGTTCCCGGCCGTATTGTCTCCTGCCACCTCTGCCTGGATGTGGCGGGTGGGTGTACGTGTCCTATTGTATCAGTCCACCATTGTGAAGAGCTTGTTTACTCCCAGGAGCTGTTTCGTTACACCCCTGGCTCACTCCTCTGACATCAGCTCCCCCCAAAGAAAAGGGCTTTTTGTCTGTTCCTTTTCACCTGCTTTGTGTCAGTAAACAGAGGTGATTCGACGTGAGCTGGTTGTATGCACCCCCTATGAGCCATCTGGCAGCAGATTCCAGATGAGGTGAGAACCTTCCATCCTTTGCAGCTGAAAACTGTGAGATTAAAGTCGACGAGTGTCTCAGTTTGCCCTGCCACAAGGGGGTGCTGTGTGTTGATGTGCTGAATGACTTCCGTTGCCTCTGTCTGGAACTGCAGGCAAACAGGCCCCTTGACACATGTGCATGCGTGTGTGTGTGTCTGTCTGTCTCTCTCTCTGTCTATAAACACGCATAGGTAATAGAATACTACCTTAAAATTTACAGATCTCTCCAACAACACACTCCTAGTAAAAAAGTGTTTGTGATCCTTCCCTGGGTATTGACCAAAGAGACTTTGCATTGTAAGGGTATATGCTTTTTTTCTTGAATGTGTAAACTTCTTCGACATTAAAAATCCAAAGCAGTACAACAGTGATACAAACAAGTTGCTCTGTGGGGAAAAGGCCTAATCCGGCAGCTCCACTGAAGTTTGGATCGCTCTTCTCCCCGTAAGAACAGGCCCCGCCGTGGCGTGAGGAAGGTCGCTCTTCTCCCCGTAAGAACGGGCCCCGCCGTGGCGTGAGGAAGGTCGCTCTTCTCCCCGTAAGAACGGGCCCCGCCGTGGCGTGAGGAAGG